ACATATAAAATTTCAAATAGCCCTGCCTATTTTAAAAATAATGGCGAAATACTAATATCACTTTATAATTCTAAGTTCTGTAAACCAATAGCTTCTTTACTTTTGGCTGCTTAATTATAACAGCTTTATCAGATAACTCATTTTTTAAACAATTGCCTATATATAATGGTATAAAATTGCGCAAAAACTTTGTTAAAATTTTTATGCTAAAATAATGTGAACCAAAAATATCTCACAATGTTTTTGGTTTGCAAAATAAATTGCAATTGAGGCTTTATGTTTTCATCATTTTTAAAAGAGAAAAGATAAATAAAACTTAATTTTATGCTAGCACGGTAGTAATGTGTTTTTGATCACTCAGTACTAAGAAACAATGTTACGTCAACTACTGTGAAAAAATCTGAGATGGTCGCACTGTTTTAAAATCAGAAAAGTTATTAAAAAGAATCAAATTTATATTTTACTTAAACAAATTATTATGGCAATAGAGCCGATTTTAGAAAGTTCCTGCCGAATTTACTAAAAATTTTACAGACTAAGCAATAAAAAGTATAGGAAAAAGTTCAAATTAAGTTTTAATTAGTTGAGCTATAACTTTGATAAATAGACAAATAATTTAGTAGCCGTCTGAGTGGGCTTGGACATTTCTCAATAGTAATCTCTTACTAGTTAAAAGGACTGAATTTTAATTTTTTTCTTTTAAATTTTTTAATATTCTTCAATAGTTTTCTTTTATTTTTTTAATTTCAACAAATTTGAAGAAAAATCTGACCTTGCTAATTTCTTTATAAATTCAATCTTGAATCTTGAATCTTTGTAAGCAAAATTACCATAATAAACTTATTCTAAATTAATTTTAAACTTTGTAATGAAAATTATATAGTAAAAACTACCCTTCACAATTATAATGAACTGCAAATTATTCCCATACAAAATTTCTGTCAAATCTTCTAATTTTCTTTTAATTGCTTTTTATTTAATTCTAATTTATTTTTTAAAGTTTTTTCCTACTTGAAAATGATTTTATTTCATTCCTTTAAACACTTTAATTTAATTTTGATTTTATGATTATTATTTAAAATTCTTATTTCCTTCTAAAATTGAGTCACATTGGATCTTCAATTCCTGAATCAAATAGAACTTAATATGCACACCTATACTTACTATTTTCGGAATAATTTTTTATGAAAATTGTATGAGTAAATGATTTTCTTTCTCAGATTAGCAAAAAAAATTTTTAAAAGTCATTCCTCATAACTTCCTGAAAAGATTATCTTTCAACTAATAATAATTGTCCTTCGTTTTATGAAATCTACCATATCATTATAATTTTAAAATGCAATGAAAACCTTCACACTTAAATCAGTTGTTCATGTAAAATAAAGATGAGTTCTTTCTGATATTAAAATACAATAAACATAACATTGGTGTGAATTTCAATAGTTATTATTTAATTTTTCATATTTTGTCATCATACTAAGTACTTAACACTTAATTCAGATATTGTTATACCCGTACGAACGTATGTTCAAAGGGTATACTAAAATTGCCTTACCGTTTGTAACGCTGAGAAATAATGATCTCAGATACAGACTCAAGTATATGTTTTTGATCAGCGTCGAATTCTGAGTCGATTTAGCTTTGTCTGTCCGTCCGTCCCAACGATAACTCAAAAACTAATCGCAATAATTTTACCAAATTTTGACAAACGGTTCACTGTAGTAAATGCTGGTTCGGGTGGCTGTCATACAACTTCAAAATTTATTTGGAGTTGTGTAGCTTTTGTATTAAAATTTCGCATAAGTAAATATATTAGAAGGGTCAATGTGCTTGATAAAATTCGTTGAAATTGCTTGGTTCTTTCTGGTAGCTGCCATACAACTTCAACGGGAGATTTTACATATCTTAGAAAACACTGAAAACACAGTACTGACATTTTGCATAAATAAATATGGTAATACGACAGCTTAAAGTCATAGATTGTCCTATAGTCAGCTACGGCATATTTACTCGCACATAGGAAAACAAATTCGCACGGGTATCAGAGGTGACACGGTCAACTGTATTTTTTCTCATTTCTTTTTATTGTAAAGAAATATTTCTTTGAAAAAAAAAAAGCAGAATAGTGAAGCAAGTATCTCTGAAGAAAATCAAATCTGCTTAAATGCATAATTTTGAATAAAATTAATTTGTTTTACATTATAATTTTTACAATAACAATTGCTGTCATTTTAAATATTCATTTAAGAGCCTTGCAGTAGGCAAATTGCAAACTTTTTATTAAGTATTGGTCACGAATAACATTAACCAAAATTCTTAAGTGCATAAATTAAATGAATAACTGCATAACAAAATAAAAACAATGTTCAAACAGTCAAATAAGCATTCCAGAACAAAATTGTGATAACAAAATGTAAACGAAGGTAAGCTTTATTTTAGGAAAACATTTTAATTAACAAAACATTTCACCAATTTTTGGAGGTGATTTTTTGGAAGGGGACGGAGGTGACAAAATGTTTTGTATTCCAAATAATGAAAATTTTTATGCCATCTCAAAATAAGATCTGTAAAAAACAATTAGATTATGTAAAAACCAAATCCCCTTTGTGATAAAATTGCAATATGTCACGTGGTTATACACTAACATTGTACAAGTATAATACTCTGCTTCTCTTTCTCTTCTCTTCATTCACATTTCATTAACAGAAAAACATACACATCGCATAATAATATTAAGAGATTTTAAATTGCATTATAATTTTAACATAATAGCATTTTGCTCATTTTTTCATTTAATATTTTTTGATATTTTTAACTTAAAACTTCATTATTATACGATTTCGTATTACAAATCATTATAGTAAATGACACAGAAAACAAAAACTGTAAAACTTTTCAATCTTTTATTCATTTATCATTCATTTGCAATATAAAAGTTTCACATTTTTAAAAACAAACCCACATTAGATTTGTCATTGTTTCAATCACAAAACGAATTGAACCAAATTCTATTTTCATTGCATGGCATACAATTGTACATGCACATTTTATACAAACATAAATAATTTGAAAAAAAAAAATTGACATTTAAGTATTTTAATTTATCATCACTGAAACAAAATGGAGCAGAATAGTTTTTTTTTTGTTTAAATTTTGTATTCATTATTGTAAAATAAAGATGTAAAAAAATTGGTTAATTGTAATGTAAAACTTAAAATTAATTATAAGTGAATATAAAACGTGATCGCTGCATCTTATTATTTTACATTTGACGTTTACGAGAAAAATAAAAATTTGAGAACTGTGTCGGAAAAGTAAATATGAGCTAATCGCATGTCAAGTTTACTTCAAAAATCGAATCAATGAATCAAATATTACTTTTGAAGTATTTCAAGACATTCCGCTTTGATTTAGCAAACTCACTTAATTTTTCCAATGATGTAACATACAGCTAGAGCAGTAAGTATACTCTTTTTTTCCGTACCGAAAGATCACACAAATAAAGTATTTCGGATGCAAATGAAAAAAAAAATGAACAAGATGTTCTCTATATACAAATAATTCTCTATAGATACAAATGATGTTTTCTAAAATAATTAAATAAACGTAGTATACATGACTACTATGCAAATCTATTCAAAATTTCGCAGCTGGAAAAATCTAGTCTTCAGAACATTAGTCCAATTTAAACTTACAAAAGACAGAAGTCTGGAATTCTTTTCAAAATTATGTGCACCACTTCAAACTTTGCTGTTCAGGTTTTAATACACTTCTGTATTATTTTAAGAGAAGTTACATACTTATATCAGCTCGAAAATAATTTAACGTAATTTTGAAAACAAATGCATCGTGCTAAAAAAAAAAACAAAAAAATTTTTAATATACATGTACACAAATTTGCCATATGCGCATGTATAATAAAACATAATTATCAAAAAATTGGAAGAATATAAGGTGCAATTCATATATCATGGTCTCCAGAGCGAGATGGTATTAAAGAAAAGCTCGCTGACCAAGAAAGAAACAGATTCTCCTTCCCACAATTCAACATGATTGCGGGCACCTGAAAATAATGCTAAACATCTCTATTCAAGTTATTCAGGATGACTAAGAAAGCTGGATTTCTTTTCTCAAAACCATTATTCTCCTGAAAAATTTATAAAAACAACAAAAGACTTCAGAGACAAAACATTAAGTTTGTAAGATATGGAACGGCATGCACCCTATTCTAATACAGGAGTAATTTTGAAAATCAAAAATGTCAGCATGCACAGTAACACCACTGCTCTCCGCATGACGTGCAACACCCATTCATGTATACACTACCTAATTATGTAAAAACATATTAACTGTATATATTTACATATAAACTTCTGTAAAATGTTCATATTGGCTAATATTTTATTTTATTTGTGGAATTGATTACCAAACTAAGAACGATGATTTTTGATAAAACTATAATATAGCGGGCTACTATGGGGGAATATTTTTCCGATACAATTATTATACGATAATTATTGTTGCAGTTTTACGGTATGTACATAATATGTTTGTGAACATGTATACGTTATGTATTATATAATATAATTTATCATAATTTTAGATTTGATTTTTTTTTTTACTTAAAGCAGCTATAATATATGAAAGAATCAACACACATATACAAATGATTATCTTTCTTTTATAATGAAAGATAATCACCTGAAAAATGATTAAATATAATTTTTGTATAATAAAATAAAAATAAATAAATGAAAGAATGACACACAAACATATTTTAACCATACTTTCTTCTCTTTTTTTTTATTAAAACACTTGAATTTTATAAATAAAAACATAAAGTACATGTGTACTTGTATGTAAATACATATTTTTTTATGTATATATGTACATAATAAGCGTATTTATGTATGGATTTGTTAGTATGTATGTATATGCATAAAAAATATATTTTATTGTTAACTATAAAAAGAATTTGACTAAGAAGATAAGTAGGTAACCTTTTTTTATGCCGATTCTCGTATGTATAGAACGGAAAACTGGTGACAGTTGCAATCAGTCTGATCTGGTAATCCCAATTTCAATTTATTACTAAATTAATTAATTATTTAGTAAAAAATTCTAAAAATTTTAAAAATAATTTTTCTTAATTTTTTTTATATTTTAATTTTTTTTTAGAAATTTATTCACTATTTTTTTATATATTTTTTTTATAATTTTTTTTAAATTTTCTTTTAATTTTTACTCAATATTTTTTTTAATCATCTTCCAATATTTTCAAAATTGCCGCTCAATATTTATTTTAATTTTCAAAATTAACACTTTTGAGACACAAAATTCAAACATTTTCCAAAATAGGTTTTTTTTTCTACATTTTTAATTTTTCATTTATTTATTAATTTTTTTAATTTTAAACTGAAAAACACAAATAAAATTTCTTCTTACATTAAAAAAAAAAAACAAAAACACTGTAAATGCAAAACTTTTCTTCTTTTTTTTAAATACGAATTTTTCCACAACATACGATGACAAAAACAAAACTTCATAAACAATAAAAGTACAAAAATACAAAAGGAAAAAAAGAGTTAACTTTTTTTTTCTTTTCGTTTTGCGCAACTAACATTAAAAACCGCCGTTCAAAATAACGTCGAAATGAAAACTGAAAAACGCGACTCTCGCCTCCATTCAACATTTGTAACGAACATTGCAAAGACTATAACAATAAAAAAAAACAACAATACAAACAAACAAGCAATATAGAAAAACATAAAAAGAAAAAAAAGAAAAAATTTTTATCCACACCACATTTTAATACACCTGAAATTGTAGAGTGGAGCGAAAATTTACCGGTCACACTAAAATTTAACAAAATCTAAATATTTGGTCACTACTTGAATGCAATGTAATAAATTTGAGAGAAAATTTTTGTAATTAATATACATATACTCTAATGACCAGCTAAATAAGACACCGCAATTTTTAAAAATTAAAACAGGAAAATGAATTTAATGTTTACCACCGTATTTAATGATTTTTATAGAGTAGAGTAGGTTGCAAGACTCATTTTTCCGGCAACAAAAGTAGCATTTATCGTCGCTACAGATTCTATTAAACTTACTTTGATCAGTCCATAATATATTTTTCCATTATAAAAGTGTTTTTTTTTGTATGCATTTTTGAAAATTCTAAGCGACATTCTCTACTTTTTTAAAGACATAAGAGGTTTCTTATTGGCAATGCATCCCCTGAGTCCGCCGTTTAATGAACGTTTCTTGTAATCTTGGTACAAGAGTAAGAAAAGGATCTTTTTTACTAAACGTACTATAGTTCTATCTTCTTTGACAGTTGTTTTTTTTTATTTAAGCTTTATAATTTTTCCAAAAAACAGTTTTGCACATCGCAAAATTTGGCTCTTACTAGTACATTTTTCAAACATACTCCAATTTAACCGCCTTTCATCTGGAGTTCAGTGTTTTCCTCTTCTTTATTAATACTTCATAAAATAATTCACAATATTTCTTAGCAAAATTTATATCCTTTAAATATAGAAGCTCTAAAATTCCAAAAACTTCATAATTGTTAGCTTTAACTTTGAAAAATTATTAAAATAATACTCGTAGCTACTTTTACACATTGTCTCATTTTAATGACCACAGTATAATTGAAGCAGTACATTTAAGGCGTTTGTTATATCGAAAACAAAAATTCCCGTTATCAGTAAAGCGTATTTTTAAATTCTGTAAGCTAACAACAAAAATATATATAACCAATGCTTTTGCAATTCTCAGTGAAGAAGGCAATATGTCTCAAAAGATTAATATTGTCTAGGGTGTCTTATTTAGCTGGCCACTAGTGTACATACGTTCAAATGTTTCATTTTCCAAAAATCAAGAAATTTTATTTATTGACTTAATAATTAATTAATTACTAATTTAATAATTAAAAATAATTAATTATCAAAATATATAGGCTAGCGTTAAAATGTCAAAACAGTGTTGCCAACTCTTTCTTTCTCAATTTACCAACTTTAGTTAAAATGTTCCCAATTTTTCGCTTTTCAAACTCTATTTTTTCCCATACAATTTCCCTTTAAGAAATTTTTTATTTATACTCGTATGTCTAGCATTATACTTAAATAGAATTCGTATTTAATCATTTTTTCAATCGCATAACTTAATAATTATTGCTTAAACAAGTACTTTAATTAAATTGTAATATAAATAATACTATATCACTTTAAGGGATTCAAAATAAATAATATGTGAAAATTAAAATGAAAAAAAAATAATATGTTAATGAAAAGTTTTCAATGGAATTTCACAAGGTTTTTGGCCTCTTTACCTTCAAGGCTTCAATATTTCTCAAAATGAAAAATTTCCCCAATTTGGCAACACTATATCAAATTTTAATTTGTTTGATAAAACCTATGAAAAATTATCCAACTTTTTTTCCATTCAACAAAATCCACAGATCTTCATAGCCAACCAAATACATGAACAAAATTTGATGTGTAAACATTACCATTGAAAAAAATGATTGATTACACAATTACATATAGTCGCACATTTTTATATTGCTTGTGTTGTTATGCTTGTATAACTTAAAAACTTATTATTATTTGTTCAGTTAATCATGCTTACTGACATGTTGTTCATACATACATACGTCAATCTAATAGATCTCTGTCCGTTTGTATTCTATAACTGATAAATTATAAGGTTTTTCGTTTCCCATTTTTTGTAGAATCAAAAATCTAAATTATATAACAGTTAAGATAGTTTTCAATAATAAATATTTTAGTAATCATTCTTACATTCTCATTTATTTCAAAATAATCGCATATTTTAAAGGATGTGTTATAATAAAACATCGATAAAATTTAAATGAATATCAAATTTTAATGGTATAAATTATTTTAAGTAGTTCTTTACAAGATCCTAAAATCAACTAAATCCAAATAAACTAAAATAAATTTCTTAAAGCATTAATTTAATTTGCTATAAATCTTTTACCATTTTTACTTTAAAATAAATATTTATTACAATAATCTATGTTATAGCAAGTTTGAAACTATGGCGCTGACAAGTTTCATTGAAGTATTTACAAATTACGAAATTTTTTTAAAACGCATTTGAAAAAATAAAAGTAAATGTTGAATTACATATGAGACTCCTTATTATTCCTCAATTAATTAAAAACAGAGAAAGTAATATGGGAAAGTATAGTAAAAAAGAGTAAACAACGAGTTTCGGCTTACAAATTCAAAAACCTAAAGCAAGATCATTTCTTGCCTATTAATTTTAAACTTAGACCCAACTCCAAATTTAATTCTTTTTCCTAACCTATTCAAGAGTTCCTACTAACTCTCTAATTCAAGACCATATTTTTTCAATGAATAATAACCGCAATTGATTTTATTCCACCCTATTTTAATTACGAAAATATATCAGGTAGGGTAAAATATTAATAAATGTTTACAATGGTGAAGTAAAATGAAAACAAACAAAAAATAAAGTTAAAATACCTAGTAAATTTAACTACTTATATTGATGTACATATGTATACATGTATGTACATTAACTTTGTATATATTGTGGTGAATAATGTTTATAAATAAAATAACATTTATACAGTATGTGGCGTGCCCGTGCATTGCTTTATTTCAACTGATTAAAATAAAATATAAGTTAATAATATCGGTTGATCGTTCAAAAAAAAAAGAAAGAAATACTAACAAAAATGCTAACGAGACCACCAATTATAGTTACAATTAAAAGAAAATTGAAACAAAAAAACTTATACCTATGCATGTACGTACGTATGTATTATGTAAATAACAATTTGAGTAAACCATAATGGTTTCATGCATTTATATAATGTGCATATGAGTGTTCAATGTTGATTTGGATGAACTATACCATCAATGTGTGAATTGTATAGGCTTATGTTTCTGATAAGAGATGTTCACTTCACATTGTTATTGTACAACAATTTTTGATTTTTAGCACGTTTCCAAAAAAATTTTGAAAAAAAATGCTTATTAGTTTCACTCTGTCCGTCCGTCCGTGGAGATGTTTACAAAACTTCTACACCCTTGAAGATAGAAAGCTGAAATTTAATATGTACATAAATCTTTAGTAGAAACTTATTTCCGTACTGCCCTAAAATCTTAACATACAGTGAAACCATAAGCACTTTTCATATTTTGCAAACGCAGAAAGGCAATGGCTTGCTTCTCCTATCGGGGCATACTGTAGCTAAACTTTAAAAAACAAAATGGCCGTTCAAATTTACCATTACTATCTAAAATGCTTTTTTTCCAAATTTTTGATGTCGCTTTTCTTCTAAACCCCAGGTTGTAGGAGCTTGAAATTTTAGCAGCCTTTAGAAACTAATAAATAATTTATTTCGTTAGGAGAAAATTTTTCTCCATCTCCACGCCCTCTCAAGTTATCGCCTCTTGAAATTTTGTAAAATTTGAATTTTTGACGCCTTATATTTCCGAAACTGCAAGCTTTTACAAATCTGTATAAACGCAAAAAGCTAACGGTAGATTCTATGACATTAAAAATATAATTATTTTTCTGAATTCACACAATTAACCCTTAAAAACGAGCATTATGTTAACCCCTCCTTAAATTAATTTTTGCTTTATTTCAAAGACTGCATAAATCGTTCATCCTAAATATATGCAATCCTACAAATAGTTTCGTTTATGAATGAAATAAATGTTAATAGTGTGGTAGGTGTACATAGTCTGTATGTAAAAGCAATATTTTCACTTGTTGAAGGGAAAAGTGCTATAATATAAACCATTGGTTTGACCCAACTTTATTTTGAATTGATTTAAGAATAAATTATTGAAAAAATTGAAATTTTGGATATTTTGTTGCACTCAACATGGAAAAGTGTATGTAAAAGCTTTCGTTAAAAACACCAGATTCAAAAACATAAAACGACAATGTATGTAAATTGTTTTCATAAATAAAATTGTCTCTTTCATCTTTCAATTTAAATATTCAAATTTAATTTTGTTGTCTTCTAACCAATTGAATGTATAATTCAGTGAAATAATGCAAAACTGCAAGTATTTACATCCAGTGAAAAACTGCTTACTTTATAGATATTGATTGAAATGAAATTCAATAAAAAATGCTGATCAAACCAATAGTTTTTGAAAGTAACACATATTCAGCTCTATCATGATTTCCACTCGTAGATTTCTACGAATTACGAACATATCTACGATGAAGAATTTTGAATGATCACAAATTCCTTTCGTAAAGATTATGAATTACCAATGGCAGTATCATTTTTCGGAGTATCAAAACCAATATTTTATTTCAACTATCAAATATTTTTTTATATTTCTTGGTTGCTATTTTAGTAAAACACTTTCATACAAAAGGCAATTTTTTAAGATATCTTTTTGTATGCAAGTTTTGCAGCTTTTTCAGTTTTTCAATAATTTTGAAAAGGTATGTTAGAGTAACTCAAACTTAAACAAAAAAATGCAAAATTTGAAAAGTTAATACGACTATTCTCTCTAAATTGCTTGTTACGAGTGAAATTGTTTATTTCTTTCGTATACTTTTGAGGGTAATTTTTACTACGAACGTATTTTATGATTACTCCATTACGAATATTAGCAATACGCTATTGA